AAAAATGACTTAATAAACAAACATTAATGCTCTGTTTGGTACGTTAGAAAAATAGAAAGATGGAAAGTTTGAGAGATAGATAAAACATCATGCTTGATAATAAAAGAAAATAGGAAGGATAAAAAAATAGATGAACGAATTTTTTTTTCCAACTCACTAAAGTCAATCCCTCTAAAATTAAAAGGAATGTGGATAAAAAATTAATTATTTGTATTGAAATATATTTTATTTGTCTATATATATCCTTTGATATATACATATATTATGTATATATTAATTTCATATATAAATATAATGATAAAATATGTGTTTATATTTTTTTTACAAAAATTTAAATTTAAATTTAAAAATTAAAAAAAATGAGTTTTCCATCTTACCTATCACAAAAAATAAAATAAATAAATAAATAATTATTTTTATTTTCTATCCATCATATCAAACACAAACGAAGAAAAGTATATCATTTTTACTTTTCTTTTTTGAAGGATAGAAAGAATATATCTCCTACTTTTTATCATTTCTATCAAAGAGAGTATAAAAACTTTGTATTTTTTGATCAATAACTCTAAGTTCTTTTTTACAATTTTTCGTTTTGCATTTGATGTGAGGGATTTCTTTCAGTCACCGGTTAGTCCGAATCTAGTACAAGAAGCCCAACTTTATTAGGCCCAAGACAAGAGATTCCTAAGTCGATCCTTTAGGCGCACTTCAGGACTTCGACCCAATACGAGTGTTGATTACATATGAAGAGGTACACCACTTAGAACGTCTTTAACCTTAGTCAAATAAAGAGGTAAATTTAAATTTGAGTCAAAATAATTTTAAAAAGTTCTCCAACCCTTAAATTCAAATTTATACAAAATTAAAGCAAAACTTATTCTGAACTTAAATTGAAACAAATTTAAATTCTATACTAAATTTCTAATGGTAACTTTTTAAACTATATTCAAAATTAAAAAACTTCTTAGACGGCTTGTTCTCTGTTTCTTCTTTTTTTTTTCTATTACGTTGCTTCCATCGCCGACCAAAACTTTCACAAATCATTTAAAGGCCGTAAGTTTTTTCCCTTGTCATATTCCATCTTCTTGATATTTTATATTTTCTAAAACCCTAATGTCATACATCTTTCATATTATATAAACCTTAAACCTACTCATCAAATTGTTATTTGATTTTTTCGAGTTAAACACTATCAGGAGTTTAATTTCAGGCTATCAATTCTTCCTAACATTTTAAGTTTTCGTTACCCACAAATTTAGAAAATTCGTCATTTTATTTCTTTAATCTTCTATTTTTGTTAAAAACATATATTTGTGTGTTCTTCAGACCAAGCCCATATCAAAATAGTTATATTTTTTTTCTTAATTTAGATTTATAAAAAATGATAAAGAATTAGAACAATTTTAAAATTCTGAGGTGGTTTCTTTATCCCCATGTAGTGTTGTATATATATTCATTGTGTTTTGAATTACCCATTTGTGAACAGATATGAAAGTTTCATTTATTTTTATCAAAAATCATGATTTGAATGACACAAAAAAAATGAGTTTTGAGACAATAAGAGAATTCTTTAAAAGATTTGAGTAGATATTTGAATTTGTCAATTGAAATAGCATTTTACTCAAATTTGAATTTAAATTTGAGTCATGATTGGATATACTTCTAGTAGCGTTTACACAGACTTAAATTTCCTCTAATATATTTGTTCTTTAATTTTTTTTTTGGTGAAAAATTCACTATTAATAAGTGGAAGGTTCACTTGTATACAATAAATCTCAATTTTATTTTAAAATTAATCTAACGGCTAATATCAATACCCTAAATTTAATTTAAAAAATAGGGTTCTAAGGGTGTATTTGGAGTGATTTTTTAAAAGTAATTTTACAATTTATTTTTCATAAATACTTTTAAAAAAATAGTGTTCGAAACCATCCAACCATTAACTCTACCACCACTACTACCTCTATCTCTACCACCACCGCCACCACCACTGCTACCACCACTGTCATTACCATTATCGATGTTGCCCCACCACCACCGTCGTCACCATCGTCGCCGTCACTAGCACTACTGCCACCACCATTACCATCGCCGCTGCTGCTGCCCCTGCCGCCACCTACACCGCAGTCATTGCCACCCGTCATAATCATTACTATCTCTTACGACTGCCACTGCCGCCCACCACCTTTCACACCCCACTACAACCGATGTTTAAATTCATTTATCTCTAATCTATGTTTGTGATTTTATTTTAGATATGAATACAAATATGTTTATTATTTATTATTTTTTATTACTCTGTGCCTTCGGACACAGACAATATATATATATATATATATATATATATATATATATATATATA